CAAAATGGTAATTAACGCATCTTTTATTATCCTATATTATTATGATTTAAGGAAATTAATTATTTACCAAATTTACACTTTACTTTTATTATTTTGTTAGATAGCATAATTTGGTAGATACTTTTACTTTATTTTCCAATTTCATAGTATTTTAAGGGAATTAACTGAAATGGCGCTAAAAGTGTAAAAGAGTTAGCCACTAAAGTGAAGAAAGATTGAGGCTTTCAAAACTATTTGACATAACAGTGCTCCCCTAAAAAATAGATAGTAATTACTCATAACAACTGATATTTTTCCATATCAAGAGTCAGGCATAACATGAGGAATGTTTCTTAAACTCCTTATACTAATAGTATAATAACTCAAATGATTATTAATATTCAGAGCTAACTTAATAATTGGTATCAAAATATCCAAGCCATTCATTATGTATTCAAGATTAAATTACACATTTTATATTTATTAAAATTAAATTTACTCTTAACTGATTAAATCATATTAAGTTAAACATTGTTTTAAAATTTCTTTACACGCATGAAATGTTTTAATCATTCAAATAGCTGTTATCATTAAAAAATATTATAACAGCCTTAACCTCAATAAATTCTGGTGACTTAGAACTAAAAAGAAGAGAAACTCTAGATCCTTTTGTATTTAAATGAAAGTGGCAATCAGAATGAACGAGTAAATCATTTTATTAGCAAATAACTAAAATTGATTGCCATTCAGGTAAGGTTAAAAAGTTTTTAGTATATATTAAATTGTGTGAAATTTAGGCTTAAGTTTCAAATTATAAAGATTTGTAAGCATATCCGTTGATTTCTACATCTCATCAAGACTCACTTCACAACTTTTTTTTCTAAGTTAAATTTCAAAGTAAGATGATTTATTTATTCTTTTATTGAGGCAAATTAATATAAAAAAGTGCTATTAGACTACTTTGAATCTTAATATTTGTCCGCCTTTACTTTAATATGTGAAAATTATTCGAGGTCTTACCTAAGAGTTGAATTTAAAGATTTTCAATTGGAGATCAAAAAAATTGAAATTATACATTAAAGTGGATTTTCCAAAAGTTTGATTAGGTTTAATTCAACCTTATATAAAAACAATCCACTTTTTCTATAAATAGGCAAGAAAATAATATTTAATTGTTACCATAATTCAAAGGGATTTTTTTATATATTGACTAGGAGATTTCTTAAAATCAATAAAACTCTTATTTTGTATTAGTGTTAATTCAAGCATAATGTTAATCATTAATTGTTGGATCAAAAAAATGAATTCTGACTAATTAATTTTTAATTAGGTAACACAGCTAATGATTATATATAGCTGAAATCATTAAAGCAAATGGTTCTCTACCTTAGGATATATAGATCATATAGGAGATAATTGGCAGAACATACTTACAACAAGCTTAAAAGTTCAAATAAACAATATTAAGTAACTGTGAGACCATTGCGTTTTATGTCACTCTCCAGAACCACTTCGCTCTTTAAAAAGCTGTTGGAAAAAACTTAAATCACCCCTATGATAGGGAAGGTCCCTTCCTCAAAAATTAGACCAAGTTAAGGAATCTTCTTCCAATTTCAAATGGTGTAGTCAATAGTAAAATATTATCATTGAGGCATCATACAACTTATTAATACCACAAGTCTAGGGGGCAAGTTGAAATTGGTTTACAGATAGCAATAAATTTGTAAAACACTTTGAGTTAGTTAATAAAACGACTAAACCAACTGTGACAGCACAAACAGAGCTGAAACTATAAAATGAATATTAAGATTTATGATTCAAGAAATTGGGTAATGTGCAAACTTAGAAGTAGTTGGTACTCTAAATTAAGTAAGTTCTACAGCTTGTTTAAGCCAATAATTCAGACAAGAATTAATGTTTCGACCGTTGACCATGTATTAATATCCTAATAGCAAATTAGGTACTTAAAATGCATGTTACCCATCAATCTAAGTAAAGTGCAATAATAATGGTTATTTGCCTAATATGATCCATTAATGCAATCTATTAAATAATAAACAGTATCAGAAGAAGTGCAACATAATCAAATGCCATTTGAACACTCAAGGAGCAAATTTAAAGGTATGCAAAATAAAATCAAGCATTATAGTTTAATACAGGGCTATAAACAATTTACACATGATATCTTCATAAATGAAAGGACAAAATATAAAAATCTGCAAACGCATAGCACTTCTACAGGCATTGAAAATCATATTTGATTAGCATTTTTACAAAAGGTCCAGAAGTTGAAAAATTATCTGAAAAAGCATGAATTGCAAGGATAAGCTCAAAGTACGGGTAGATACATTTATTAACACTAAATAAAATCAGATATACAAGATAAATAAGTGTTAGATGCTGGTTTAGTAAGGATATGCATATTTAATGGATGAAAGAAACGATAAGTAGTTGTTTGGAATTAATAAGGAACAAAAGCATTCATACCCATAAAAATATGGAGTGCATGAAGGAAAGCTTCTGAAATCTACAATGAATCTGCGCTATTCATTTTTTTCAGGTGTCAATTTTAATAGGAAAAGTAGAAATCTAACTGCATAAGTTGAAATATGAACTATATTAGAATTAACCCAGTGAAAATGGAAACTAAGAGAAAAAATGATACTACTAATTTTATTATGAAAAAAAAAAAAAATATGGAATTGAAGTTGACTTTAGCTTAAATTCTTAAGCATCACAAATATGTGATCTATTCCAGAGATACATATGTATAATTATGATTGAAAATTAAACATTAAATATTGAAAACTCAACACAATATTGAATAAATTAAACTACAGACAGCATCCTAATCAAATAGATTTTGGAATAAATAAAGATTTAAAACATTTAGGTAGCAAGAGAATTTTTAAATAGGATATTTACTAAAAATTATTATGAATACAAAGACTTTAAGAGAAATTTATGATTAATAATTAACTTTTTGTCAGAATGGAGAAGTAGATTTTTTAAGTTATGAATTTAATCACTCATTCACTTAAATAAAAAAGGAGACGCTTAGACAATAAAATAGTATAAGGCTGAGTAATGTAATATTGATCTGTATCGCTAACAAAAGAAAGAATTTTGTTATTTTTAGCGTTGATGATATTAATTAATTTTAGGTATAAGTCTATTTCTAAGATAACTTTTGATGCTCTTTTTACTCAGCAAGCTTCTCATTATTTTATTTATTTTTTAACATCTTCCCTTAATTCTTAAATGTTTTCTATCTTCCTTCATTAATATTAATATCATGTCTGATTTATAAATATCTTTTAGATGAATTAATCAACATGATGGTAATGAGAAATGTTTCCACCCTTTATTGAGACTAAAAATTACCTTAACTATCCTTCTTTTTTTAAATTGAATTGTGAGTAATAATAGAAATTTCATCCTTTATATAAATATTCAAGAAGTTTTATTCTTTCATTTGGGATTGTCGTTTAGTTAAACATTTAAGAAATTAGGAGATAATTTTAAGACCTTCATTTTACACTTATTAGCAAGTTTATTTTTCCAACTGGAGATTCTTCATTACAAATTGAACTTTTGTCTACAGCAAAAGTTATTTTCGAGTCAAGGAAGCAATCTAGAATGGTGAAATCAATGCGTTCAAAAAACGAGGGAAATCATCTGTAATATACAAGGTATGAAATTTTGGAAGGGCTTAGAACTTAGGAGAATCCAGCTTTCAAGTGCTATTTCATTACCTTATGGTCGGTAAATTCTTAGCCAAATAAATTCTGATATGGGGAACAAATTAAAGGACAATAAAAATAAAATTCGAGAAAATGCATTGAAAAACATTATAAAATTAGGGGGGTCAAATAATTATTCTAATCGCAATTAAAAGAAACAACCAAAAACTGAAGAAATTAAATGAGGATAAGGATATGAATGAATAAAAATGGAAAAGTAGAAAAAAGTTTAAGTTCCAGTGGCAACTTCGAAACTAGATTTGGAGGGATATTTGGACCTCTTAGATGGACGAAACTACAAGTGGGAAACTTAAAAACTAATTTTTAAAATATTAATCTAAAAAAAAGGCATATTCGGTTTGGAAGGCTTAACTTAGATTATATAAAAAAGAATGATCTAGATAAAAACGCAAAACACAGATAATTACTAAACATTTTGTGCGTGTGAAATAAGTCTGAATAAAATGGTACTAATATGGTAAATTGAAGATAATAGAAGATAGCAGTTTTATTATGCATTTTGAAAAATTGTACTAGTAACAATTTAGTCTTAAGAATTGGATCTAGCTAACATTTTAAAAATCAATTTCTCTCCCCTTCTTAAAAAGAAATCTGAGTTTTCAATAAAACCTAATTTCACTACAAGCAAATTATCTAGATTTTTCAGTCTTTTCATTCATTAATTCAACTCAATAACTTTTTGCTTTAAAGAAAAATAAAAATTTTAAATTATTATAACTTCAATCATTTTATATATTTATAATTAAATTCAATTTCACTTTAGCTTTCTTTATTTTGAGGCCGCTAATTTATAATATTTCTAAGCCTCTTCAAATCTATTCATTTATTTTAACACATCAGCTAACACAATTTACCTTAATAATATTACCTTTTCCATAATAATAGTTTGAATCTTAAGGGTTTTTCTAAATTGCCAAATCATAGTTTTCCAAAGCATCTTTCAATCTGTTCATTTTATCTAGAGTATTAGCTATAAACTTAAACATAATACTAATACCTTTGTTGAAATAAAAATAAGACTCTTCTGGGTTTTTTTAAATTGCTAAATCATAGTATTTTAATGCTTCTTCTAATCTGTTCATTTTATCTAAAGTAACCGCTAGTAATCGTTCATAACCATTAATACCTTTGTAATTATAATAGTCAGGATCCTCTAGGTTTTTCTGAATTGCCAAATCAAAGTGTTCCAAAGCTTCTTCGAATCTATCCATTTCATCTAGAGTAATAGCTAAGTAATCATGCAAATTTTATTCTACCTTTGTTGATATAATAATCAAAATCTTCTGGATTCTTCTAAATTGCTAAATCATAGTTTTCCAATGCTTCTTCAAATCTATTCAAGTATTTTAATGTTTCGGCTAATAAAATTCAAGTCAATCATTTTACCTTTGCCATTATAATAGTTTGAATCTTCAGGNCTTCATTACAAATTGAACTTTTGTCTACAGCAAAAGTTATTTTCGAGTCAAGGAAGCAATCTAGAATGGTGAAATCAATGCGTTCAAAAAACGAGGGAAATCATCTGTAATATACAAGGTATGAAATTTTGGAAGGGCTTAGAACTTAGGAGAATCCAGCTTTCAAGTGCTATTTCATTACCTTATGGTCGGTAAATTCTTAGCCAAATAAATTCTGATATGGGGAACAAATTAAAGGACAATAAAAATAAAATTCGAGAAAATGCATTGAAAAACATTATAAAATTAGGGGGGTCAAATAATTATTCTAATCGCAATTAAAAGAAACAACCAAAAACTGAAGAAATTAAATGAGGATAAGGATATGAATGAATAAAAATGGAAAAGTAGAAAAAAGTTTAAGTTCCAGTGGCAACTTCGAAACTAGATTTGGAGGGATATTTGGACCTCTTAGATGGACGAAACTACAAGTGGGAAACTTAAAAACTAATTTTTAAAATATTAATCTAAAAAAAAGGCATATTCGGTTTGGAAGGCTTAACTTAGATTATATAAAAAAGAATGATCTAGATAAAAACGCAAAACACAGATAATTACTAAACATTTTGTGCGTGTGAAATAAGTCTGAATAAAATGGTACTAATATGGTAAATTGAAGATAATAGAAGATAGCAGTTTATTATGCATTTTGAAAAATTGTACTAGTAACAATTTAGTCTTAAGAATTGGATCTAGCTAACTTTTTAAAAATCAATTTCTCTCCCCTTCTTAAAAAGAAATCTGAGTTTTCAATAAAACCTAATTTCACTACAAGCAAATTATCTAGACTTTTCAGTCTTTTCATTCATTAATTCAACTCAATAACTTTTTGCTTTAAAGAAAAATAAAAATTTTAAATTATTATAACTTCAATCATTTTATATATTTATAATTAAATTCAATTTCACTTTAGCTTTCTTTATTTTGAGGCCGCTAATTTATAATATTTCTAAGCCTCTTCAAATCTATTCATTTATTTTAACACATCAGCTAACACAATTTACCTTAATAATATTACCTTTTCCATAATAATAGTTTGAATCTTAAGGGTTTTTCTAAATTGCCAAATCATAGTTTTCCAAAGCATCTTTCAATCTGTTCATTTTATCTAGAGTATTAGCTATAAACTTAAACATAATACTAATACCTTTGTTGAAATAAAAATAAGACTCTTCTGGGTTTTTTTAAATTGCTAAATCATAGTATTTTAATGCTTCTTCTAATCTGTTCATTTTATCTAAAGTAACCGCTAGTAATCGTTCATAACCATTAATACCTTTGTAATTATAATAGTCAGGATCCTCTAGGTTTTTCTGAATTGCCAAATCAAAGTGTTCCAAAGCTTCTTCGAATCTATCCATTTCATCTAGAGTAATAGCTAAGTAATCATGCAAATTTTATTCTACCTTTGTTGATATAATAATCAAAATCTTCTGGATTCTTCTAAATTGCTAAATCATAGTTTTCCAATGCTTCTTCAAATCTATTCAAGTATTTTAATGTTTCGGCTAATAAAATTCAAGTCAATCATTTTACCTTTGCCATTATAATAGTTTGAATCTTCAGGGTTTTTCTAAATTGCTAATTCATAAAATTTCAAAGCTTCTTCCAATCTATTCATTTCTTGTAACAAATTGGCTAATGTATTATACATGATTAGTTATACCTTTATTATAGAAATAATCAGAGTCTTCAGGATTATATTAAATTGCTAGATCAAAATATTTTAATGCTTCTTTAAATCTATTCATTTATTTTAATGTTTCGGCTAATAAAGTATAAAATGAAATATTTTTACCTTTGCCATTATAATATCTTGAATCTTCTTTATTTATCCGAATTGCTATATCATAGTTTTCCAAAGCTTCTTTGAGTCTGTTCATTTTATCTAATGAAATAGCTAACATATAATTTATAAATAAAAATACCCTTGTTATAAAAATATTGAGAATCTTCTGGATTTTTTTAAATTGCTAAATCATAATTTTTCAAAGCTTCTTCGTCCATGTTCATTTTTTCTAATGTAATAGCTAACAAATCATATATAAATAAAAATACCCTTGTTAAAAAAATATTGAGAATCTTCTTAGTTTAACTAAATAGCTAAATCATAGTTTCTCAAAGCATCTTCTAATCTGTTCATTTTATCTAATGTATTAGCTTGAAAATCAGAAATTTAAAATATACCTTTGTTGATATAATAATCAGAATCTTCTGGATTTTTCTAAATTGCTAAATCATGGTTTTCCAAAGCTTCCTCTAATCTATTCATATTTTCTAATGCGATAGCTTAAAAATTATATACTTAAATATACCCTTGCTATTAAAATACTCAGAATGCTCTGGGTTTTTTTAAATTGCTAAATCATAGTATTTTAATGCTTCTTCTAATCTGTTCATTTTCTCTAGAGCAACAGCTAAGAATATAAATATTGAGAAATACCTTTGTTGAAATAATACTAAGGATCTTCTGGGTATTTCTAAATTGCTAAATCATAGTTTTCCAAAGCTTCTTCTAATCTGTTCATTTTATCTAAAGTATCAGCTAAAGAAATCATAATTTTTTATACCTTTGTCATTATAGTTGTCAGAATCTTCTGGATTTTTCTAAATTGCTTAATTATAGAATTCCAAAGCTTCTTCTAATCTTTTCATTTTTTGTAATGTATTAGCTACAAAATCATACATATGTAATTATACCTTTCCCATTAAAATACCTTGAATCTTCTTAGCTTTTCTAAATTGCTAAATCATAGTTTTCCAATGCTTCTTCTAATCTGTTCATTTATTCTAATGTCATGGCTAACAAATCAACATATGAATACACCCTTGTTATAGAACTTTTCAGAATCTTCTGGGTTTCTCTAAATTGATAAATTATAGTTTTCTAAAGCTTCTTCTAATCTGTTCATAATTTTTAATGTTATTGCTAAGTAATCATATAAATGAATTTATACCTTTATTGTTATAATAGTCAGAATCTTCTGGATTTAACTAAATTGCTAAATCATAATTTTGCAAAGCTTCTTCAAATCTGTTCATTTTATCTAGAACATTAGCTAAGAAATCATAAATATTTTTATTGCCTTTGCGATTATAATAATTTGGATCCCCCGGATTTTTTTAAATTGCTGAATCATAGTTTTCCAAAGCTTCCTATAACCTATTCATTTTATATAGAGTATTAGCTAAAAAGTCATACATTGTTGAATAATACCTTTGGTGAAATAATACTCAGGGTCTTCGGAGTCTTTCTAAATTGCTGAATTAATGGTTTCTAAAGCTTCTTTTAA